CCCCAGGTAGGCCACTGATAATTCCACTTGTCTCTTCAGTTGTCATTGGAAGCCTGCCTGTGTTGAAACAGTAATGATATGTTTACTTATCACTGGATTTTCTTTTAGACATGGGTGAACTCAGGGTTTAGTAGCCAGACCTCTGCTGTGTGTGTACAATTACAGACTATCACATTTTTTCTTAGAGTGACAAGGAATTCAGTCATTTACTTTCCAGTAGTCTCATATTACTTACCTGGATTCATTTCTACTAATGCGTTTATATTAGGTTGGTGCAAAAGTAATTGTATTTTTTTGCTATTAAAATGGCAAAACTGTAATTACTATTGCACCAACATATACAATTAAAACATGGGCTTGGTTGCTGGGTGCAGTGGCTGACGCCTGTAATCTCAGCACTTTGGGAGGCTGAGGTGGGCGGATCACGAGGTCAGGAGTTCGAGACCAGCCTGGTCAGCATGGTGAAACTCCATCTCTACTAAAAATACAAAAATTAGCCAGACATGGTGGCGTGTGCCTGTAGTCCCAGCTACTGGGGAGGCTGAGGCAGGAGAATTGCTTGAACCCAGGAGGCGGAGGTTGCAGTGAGCTGAGATTGTGCCACTGCACTCTAGCCTGGACGACAGAGTGAGACTACATCTCAAAAAAAAAAAAAAAAAAAAAGTGGGCTTGGCCAGGTGCAGCATCTCACAATTGTAATCCCAGCACTTTGGGACGTGGAGGCAGCAGGATCATTTGAGCCCAGGAGTTCAAGACCAGCCTGGGCAATGTGGTGAAATTCTGTCTGTACAAAAAATAAGTTTTTTAAAATTAGCTAGTTTTGGTAGTGTGTGCCTGTAGTCCCAGATATTGGGGAGGCTGAGGTGGGAGAGTCACTTGGGCCTGGGAGGTAGAAGCTGCAGTGAGCTTTGATCATGTCACTGCACTTCAGCCTGGGCAACAGAGTGAGGTCCTGTCTCAGTAAATAAATAAATAAAATAAAATAAAAACAAAAAAACACGAGCTTCACTCTTCCTAACTTTGAATCCTTTATAATTGTGACTAGGTCTTACCCTTTCCATTTTTGTTTTCTTTTTCTTTCCTTTTCTTTTTTTTTTTTTTTTTTTTGTTTAAAAAAAGGGGGTATGGTCTCACTTTCTTGCCCAGACTGGTCTCAGACTTCTGGGCTCAAGCGATCCTTCCACCTTGTCCTCCTTAAGTGCTGGGATTATAGGTGTGAGCCATTGCGCCCAGTGGACTTTCCCACATCTGCATTTTAATGTCGATGTTTTATAAGTAGGTACATTTGGAAAAGCAACCTTCCACAAAGTAACAGAAACAAGGTAACACAGCTGAGCCCTGTAGCACACTCCTGTAATCCCAACACTTTGGGAAACCAAGGTGGACGGATCTCTTGAGCCCAGAAGTTCCAGAGCAACTAGGGCTACACAGTGAGACCCCCGTCTCTACAAAACAATACAAAAATTAGTGGTGGTGCACGTCTGTAGTGCCAGCTACTTGGGAGGCTGAGGTGGGAGGATCACCTGAGCCCAGAGAGGTCGAGGCAACAGTGAGCTGTGATCGTGCCACTGCATTCCAGCCTGAGTGACAGAGTGAAATCCTGTCTCAAAAAAAGGTGTGTGTGGGGGGGAGGGAGGTGACTGGGGGGAAGGGGGAAGGAAGAGAGAAAGAAAAAGAAACACTATACCATCCTGGCTAACACAGTGAAACCCCGTCTCTACAAAAAATACAAAAAATTAGCCAGGTGTGGTAGCGGGCGCCTGTAGTCCCAGCTACCGGGGAGGCTGAGGCAGGAGAATGGTGTGAACCCGGGAGGTGGAGCTTGCAGTGAGCCAAGATCCAGTCACTGCACTCCAGCCTGGGCGACAGAGCAAGACTCCGTCTCAAAAAACAAAAACAAAAAAGAGACACTATAACAGGTTTTCCAAAGTATGATTTTTCTGGAATTTGACTCTGAAAGGATAGCACAGAGTTACCATTTAAAAAAATTATTTTTTCCTCCCATCCACAGAAATAGACTCATTTTTTTTAAAACCTCCATCCTTACAAAACCTTGTGGAGTAGAGCCACTAGCCCCATGCCCTCCATCCTCTGGATTATCCATGATTATTTTTTTTGTTTGCCACCTCCAATTAGAGTGTCATAGATTTTTAAAAAATGAAACTAAAGTTTAAAATAACATGACAGTTTGATGAGTTAATGCTAAGTAAATACCTATATAAAATATTGACCCACCCCCTCCTCCTTTGTTGAAGCTGGGAGGGAGGAACAGTAAAAACAATCATGTGTTTTCAATAAAATGAAGGGTTCTGTCAGAAATGAGTGGGAAATGGGCACAAAATTATGGAACTGCCCTGGGTGGCTCTGCTGTCCTGGAAATGACTGCCAGATACAGGAAATAGAGAGCAGAGGTCCACTGGGAACAGATCTCTGAAGTAGAAAGGGGCACTACTGGAGAGCAAGGGACCCTCCTCCCACCCACATCCCCCAGACTTCTCCCTCCTGTGCTTGTGAACCTTTACTGGATTAATCATGAACCTAGTGGGTAAAAATATAAAGTATATCAAGACGTCACCAAGCCAGCTTATTGGAGAGGCATAGTGGAAGACTCTAAAGAGGAGAAAATCTTCCATTAAGATATGTCTTAAAAATAAGTTAAATTGGTCGGCAAAGCCTGAGTCCTGTCCTCTTACCCTCCTCCCTGGACAGCATGAGCTTCACCACTCACTCTGCCTTCTCCACCAACTACCAGTGCCTGGGCTCTGTCCAGGCGCCCAGCTACAACTCCCAGCTGGTCAGCAGCATGGCCAGCGTCTGTGCAGGTGCCAGGGGCTCTGGTTCCCGGATCTCCATGTCCCACTCCACCAGCTTCTGGGGCAGCATGGGGTCCCAGGTCCTGGCCGCAGGGATGGCTGGGGGTCTGGCAGGAATGAGTGGCATCCAGAACTAGGAGACCATGCAAAGCCTGACAACCACCTGGTCTCCTACCTGGACAGAGTGAGGAGTCTGGAGACCAAGAACCAGAGGCTGGAAAGCAAAATCCAGGAGCACCTGGAGAAGGGACCCCAGGTCAGAGACTGGGGCCATTACTTCAAGACCATTGAGGACCTGAGGGCTCAGATCTTCGCAAATACCGTGGACAATGCATTCTGCAGATTGACAATGCCTGTCTTGCTGCTGATGACTTTAGAGTCAAGTATGAGACAGAGTTGGCCACACGCCAGTCTGTGAAGAACAACATCCATGGAAACGAAATCCATGACACCAATGTCACTCGGCTGCAGCTGGAGACAGATTGAGGCTCTCAAGGAGGAGCTGTGCTTCATGAGGAAGAACCACAAAGAGGAAGTAAAAGTCCTACAAGCCCAGACTGCTAGCTCTGGGTTGAATGTGGAGGTAGATGTCCCCAAATCTCAGGATCTCACCAAGATCATGGCAGACGTCCGGGCCCAATATGGCAAGCTGGCTCTGAAGAACCAATAGGAGCTGGACAAGTACTGGTCTTAGCAGATTGAGGAGAGCACCACAGGGGTCATCACACTGTCCGCCCAGGTTGGAGCTGCTATGATGCTAACAGGGCCGAGACATACAGTCCAGTCCTTGGAGATCAACCTGGACTCCATGAGAAATCCGAAGGCCAGCTTGGAGAACAGCCTAAGGGAGGTGGAGGCCTATTATGCCCTGCAGATGGAGCAGCTTAATAGGATCTTGCTGCACCTGGAGTCAGAGCTGGCAAAGGCCCGGGCAAAGGGACAGTGCCAGACCCAGGAATACGAGGCCCTGCTGAACATCAGGGTCAAGCTGGAGGCTGAGATTGCCACCTACCGCCACCTGCTGGAAGACGGCAAGGACGTCAATCTTGGTGATGCCCTGGACAGCAGCAACTCCATGCAAACCATCCAAAAGACCACCATCCACTGGAGAGTGGATGGCAAAGTGGTATCTGAGACCAAAGACACCAAAGTTCTGAGACATTAAACCAGCAGAAGCAGGGTACTCTTTGGGGCAGGAGGCCAATAAAAAGTTCAGAGGTCAAAATTAAGTTAAATTATATTACTCTCAAGTCATTACGAATATAGGTAATGATTTCATTGAAGTCCAATGTTTCAATGAAGTACATAATCAATTAGGGTTATTTGGAAATAAGACATGAAAGTTGCAAAAACAGACTTCTCCTATATATTCCTCCAACTTTCCCCAATGATAATATCTCACACAACCAAAGGTTATCAAAACCAGAAAACTGACCAGGCACAGTGGTGTGCCACTTATAGTCCCAGCTACTCAGGTGGCTGAGGTGGGAAGATCCCTTGAGTTCAGTAATTCAAAGCCAGCCTGGGCAACACAGTGAGACAGTGGCTGTAAAAACAAAAATGGAAGAAAACCAGAAAACTGGTGTCATCAGTTGTGTTTAAGGAAACCAAGTCTCCTTTAAAAGTTTGTTATAAAATTATAGATCTCTCATAAATACTGAGGTGGAAAGATTCCCTGGAAGCAGCCTAGTCAGAAAGTGAAGACAGTGACATCCAGATAGGTTAATACTTCTGCCAGCACCATAATTACACTCTCTTGGCTGTACATTCCAATCACTGGAAGACAGCCAAAATTGAACCACTGGCTGGGCCCACCTTAAATCAATGGCCTCAACCTCTGCAGACAAGGCTCAATTATCAGTACGTTTTAAAACAACTTTGCCGCTGAAGGTTCACTTAAATAATCAACTGGTAAGGCCAGGTGCGGTGGCTCATGCCTGTAATCCCAGCATTTTGGGAGGCCACGGCGGGCGGATCACCTGAGGTCAGGAGTTCAAGACCAGCCTAGCCAACATGGTGAAACCTCCTCTCTACAAAAATACAAAAATTAGCTGGGCATGTGGTGTGTGCCTGTAATCCCAGCTAGGGGAGGCTGAGGTGGGAGAATCGCTTGAACCCGGGAGGCGGAAGTTGCAGTGAGCCGAGATCGCGCCACTGCACTCCAGCTTGGGCGACAGAGCGAGACTCCACCTTAAAAAAAGAAAAAAAAAATCAACTGATAACAGGCGATTAACAGGAGACAAGGCATACATAACACCGGAGTAATAGCAGGAGAATCATTACCCAGTAGCTTAATGGAGTACAGAAGATTTTATATCCTTTTTTTCATAGGGGAAAGGGGAGATGGGAAATGTAGACATTTATTTTGAGAAGCAGCAAATGATTATTAGGAACAATGAATGGACAGAAATTAATTAGCAAATAATTTTCTTTTGAGTTATCTTGTGAAAAAGTCCCTCCAGGCATGGCTGCATTTCTGTCTTTCTGAAATAGGATACCAGATCTCAGTGAGGGGAGGAATGCGATTGTTTCCTCTACAAAGAGGCTTCTCTAGTCTGGGAAGGAAATTTCAGAGAGTACCTCCCCGCACTTGGGGAAAGGGCGGGCAACAAGTCAAGGTTAGGGGGACCTGCATTATGAGGCAGCTTCTAAAGCCTCTCAGTCTTTGGGGTATCGCTTTCTGAGCGTCAAGAGTAAAACGTGATGCATTACTTTCCTTCCAACCTAGATTCTAGTAGTTTAGATCAGTATCATCGTTTTTACTTCAATGTTCAGGAAACGCTGGAAATTTCTAGCTAACATCACAGAAAAAAAAAACCCACGAGGTTGACTTCACCTATTCTGCCTACCCTCGGCAGGTAACTATGTATGAACTGACACTCCCAGGCATAATCAAATTACCTCTGTCAAGTCCTCGCCCTAAGACTATTTTTGGAAACTAGGGATTTTCCAGATTACTGAAAGCCTTGTCAGTGTCAAAGGCCGGGCAGGAGTTTCGCAAGCGGAGCTAGGAAAGCCTCCGCCCTACTTCCCCACACTGGCAAAAACACGCCCCCCGGGGAACTTTCATCTGGGAACCGATACAGTCCACTGTCCTGTGTTCTTCAAATACTGTAAAGCAGGATAAATACTGTAAAGCAGCCCTCTCCAGTTTCCTTGAGGGTCACTTTATATTACACATTCGTCCACACACGACACCAGTCACCACTTTCATCCGCCAAAGCGCGCTCAGGTCGGCCGCCACTTCCCTTGGTACATGCGGAACACTGGCCGCGCCGAGGTTAAAGGAAGAGGCTGGAACGCAGGGTGAAGGGGCGCAGAGATGATAGCCAACGCCGCCATCTCTATTTTGGGCATAAGGGATCTTGTAAAGCTCCATTATTCGTGTGGCTAAGTATCACAAACAAGGTGGTGTCAACAGGCCTTGGCTAGAGAAGGCCTCCTTAGCCACTGATGACCCCAAGGTCTGTCCCAGCACCAAACACTCCTCGCAGGCCCAGATGCCGAGGGCGGAGGCGCGGCCTGAAGGGACTAGTTGGCGCGCGGCGGCCCGGCGTGGTGACGTCAGGGCGGAAGCGCACGCGGCGTGAAGCGGCCCAGAACCCGGCGGTCACGGGAATATCCGTCGCGCCGAGAACGCTGGTTAGTCTTGTTTCGGGTTCCGGCTGCGTTGAGCTTGCGTGCAGCTCGCTAAGACTATGGCGTCCGGGCCTCACTCGACAGCTACTGCTGCCGCCGCCGCCTCGTCTGCCGCCCCAAGCGCGGGCGGCTCCAGCTCCGGGACGACGACCACGACGACGACCACGACGGGAGGGATCCTGATCGGCGATCGCCTGTACTCGGAAGTTTCACTCACCATCGACCACTCTCTGATTCCGGAGGAGAGGCTCTCGCCCACCCCATCCATGCAGGACGGGCTTGACCTGCCCAGCGAGACAGACTTACGCATCCTGGGCTGCGAGCTCATCCAGGCCGCCGGCATTCTCCTCCGGCTGCCGCAGGTCAGTGCTCTGGCCCTGGGTCGGCTGGGCACTCCTCTCCTCCCCTCCGTCCCCTACGCCGCATCGCCGTATCACTGTGCCCCGAGAGGGTGGGGACGGCTCCCTCAGGCTCTCCCATTCGGGGCCCAGCCGGGGCCGGGGTGTGCCGGGGCGGGGGGCTGCGGAGGCGGAGGGAGGACCTGGCAGCGGGCTGTTCGCGGCGGCGGCGGGAGGGGAAAGGGAAGCGATCAGCGGCACAAAATGGCGGCGGCGCCTGGAGCGGGCCCGCCTGACCCCTGCGCTTCCGTTCTCCTCTCTTGTCTGCAGGTGGCGATGGCAACGGGGCAGGTGTTGTTTCATCGTTTTTTCTACTCCAAATCTTTCGTCAAACACAGTTTCGAGGTAAGCACAGCGGAGGCGGGTAAAAGGGATTTCTTCATCCGGAAATGGGCAGAAGTAGGGGTAGTGTTAGCAGCCAGCTTTTCCAGAAAGGGAGTGGTTTAGTTTAGGCCTTTGTACCTACTTCTCACTCGCCAGGAAGTGGAAACCTTTAGAGTGTGGTTCACAATCCAGAAAATGGATCCCGAGCCTAAGTGCCCTCTTAACGAGAAGTAGTTTTCAACCAAATACAGAAGTGCTGTGAGATTGAGCTTGACTCTGGAACCAAAATTAAGATGAGTGGAACAACAAAGAGTGTAGTACTAGCATAGCTGGTAGGCTTATGGCATAGAAATGTCCGCTCTAATTTTACTAAAGATTGTCCCACTTGTGTTCTAAAGTTTATTCTTCAAAGTGAGTTTAATCTAACAATGGCTTTTGTGGCTCGTGGCTTCTTACAGATTGTTGCTATGGCTTGTATTAATCTTGCATCAAAAATCGAAGAAGCACCTAGAAGAATAAGAGATGTGATTAATGTATTCCACCACCTACGCCAGTTAAGAGGAAAAAGGTAAGATTGGCATTATTGAACATAGCATCACTTGCTACTGCTGTACTGTGCACCCGTCATCAAATCAAAACATCTTTCCTCTCAAGTGAATATGGATGCAAAAGAAAACGGACTTTAATTTAGGTGTTAAAGTTCATATAGGAACACTGATATTTAAAATAATTTGAAAAAAGAAACATAATTAACCGGTTATCTAAAGTTTGTAGAGGCAGTTGCATTTATGGACAATCCTAACAGTGCTGTGAAGCCAGGCCTGTGGCTTAAGATTAAACAAGAAAGGGAGTACATTTGGCTCAAGTGTGAGTGTATTCTGTAAGTTATTTTTCCTCTCCCCTCTCTGGAAGACTGAAGGCTGTGGAAGTTTAAACACTGTAGTTTAAGTTAATATTGTGGCAAAGTTCTGTGTAGATCATGTTTTTCTACTCGAAGTCCCAGTTAATTCTTTATCAATTGAGGTTGGCTTTTGTTAGAGTACTTCTCAACATTGAACTACGATATATCGAATAATACCGGATCTGAAAGGACTGCAGGATGATAAAGTTTGAAGTTTGAAGTCAAAGGGAATAAACAGGTATTTTGTTTTGGTCAGATACAGTCTTAGTGAGTGGGTTAGAAAATTAACAAGATTGACTGGGTTGCATTTAGATAAGGCTCATTTATTTGATGTTGTAAGAAAATACAGAGACTGAAATAGTATCTCGTAGGTGTTGTGGTAACATAATTTTATGTGGACCTATGTGTTCCTGTGAGGCAGTACCAAAAAGTTTGTTGCAGGACTTCCTGCATCTACAGGTGACTTTCAGTACATGCTGCAGAAGGATATATTTGGTGTAGATTAGTTTTTGTATTCACTCTTTAAGGAATTGTAGTGATGTTAGTCAGTGTACTGAGTTTGAAAGGAAGTTATTAAAAGGATTATAAGTTGTTCTGGGGGCTGGGTATGTTGGTTAGTGCTGTTAGTATTCTATATGTGTAGTCCTTATTGGCTGAATCTGTAAGTTGGCAGTAATGGAACTATTCAGACAAGCAAATATTAAAGCAACTTTAAGATGACTAGTCTATTCTGTGAGTCTACAGACAGTTCTTTTTTAAAAAAAAATATCCTAGTCAAAAAGTCTGAAACAGTTTTTCTACATACTTTTTCTCCCCCATCTTTTCTCATTCACCTTAACTGTGTCCAGGGATAGAGTAATTTTTAAATTCTAAAACATCTTTTAGTTTGTTGATGAGTCCCTGGGAATTGGGAAGATTTCAAATTGGTCTTTGGTATGGTCTGAGCTTTAATCTGTATTTAGATACCTGGCTGATTCTTCAGGATGTTTAAAGTTATGACACTAATACAAGGCTCTATCTTTAGTCAAAGGTTTCTCTTTGCTTAAAGGAAATGGTTTTCTAGTATTACTCTTTGAACCATTGAGCCAGCTATTATGTAATCATATGATTATCTTTTGTGAAATTTTCCTGTGAGACTAAGTTTTCTTCGTTGATGTCAGAATAGGTCTTAACTGTAAAAACCATGGAATTTAAAATAATATAATCTCACCTGATCGTTGTGTCTGATGTAACTTTGTTTTTTGGGTCATTATTACAGAGAAACTGATTTTGTTTCAATCTTAGAAGTCTGATTATAGCAAAATTTAAAAGGAGTTGTTAATTGCATGGAAGCCTTTTTTTAAAGCAGGATGTAAAAGTGTTTCTATGCATATTACAAGTTTACTCAAGCACGTAACTTGTATATGTTATTAACTTCAACTCTTTTTTCCCTTGCAACCGACTATACAGCGACCAGCTACATTTACCAAAGCCTGGGTGATGTGGAGTGGTACATAGAGATGAAGCTGTCGTCATGGCAACAGTGAGTGAAGTATCGAAAATCCCCAAGGAGAAGCCAGTGCTCTGAGAATAGGTCACTGGAATCGGGGACTAACAGGTTGGCCACTGGTGAACCATTTAGAAAAACTCCTGTTTCTTGTTACAAGCTTTTGTCTTTGCTGTCCAAGTTATTAGAACTATAGCCTTGTATTTATTTTTGCACAGGTTAATGTCATTAGAAAGTACTGTCGGTATTATACGTTAGTTAGGTAAAGCATACTTGTCTTGATGATGCTATTTGTTTTAATCTAGTTTATTTGTAACTTTAAATTGTAGTGTGACTGTGACAGTTACAGTGGAGATACATTATTCATGTCGCATGTGAGTCATTGGTCTCTTCACCCTGGCTACACATTGAGAATTAGCAGAGGAGCTTTTTAAAAAGTACCAGTGCTTAGTTCCCAACCTGGATTGTTTGGCCTATTCCTCCTTCAATTTTTTGTGGTTCAATAGTTATCTTTTAAGTTCACAATAAATGGCTAAATTTAGAGGGACGATTGCTTTTTCATTGTAGTAGTTTCCAAATATTTACTTTTGAGATGCAGCGTATTAAAATTTTCAAAGACTGCTTTAACCATTCTCATTAGTAAATGTCATGTACTTTCAGTGTATCCATAGATAATAAAAGTTGGATAGGTACGCATTGGAAAGGTATTAAGCGATGTTATTTAATCTACCAGCTTTCTATAGTATAATTCTGTGGCTCTACAAGGTGGCCTTCAGTTTGTTTAAATACCTATAAGGAATGTTTCTACTTTTAAGTAGGCATTACAGATTTTTTGTATATTGCTTGGCAGTATGCCTCTTTGTAAGCTACCTATCTCTTACAGTCTCTTGAGAACCTGGTTCCAAAATTTCTCAGTCTTTGTAACACATAAATGAGACTAACCATGTTTGGACCTTGTAATTTTTGTTATTGTTGAGTTATATGTCAATTACATAATCATGCTAAAGGAAAAAAGCTCCTCTAACAAACCATATAATAAACTTATAATTACCGAAGACCAGGATTTTCTAAAACTGAAAATAATTCTCTTATAAATCAGAAACATCGGACAATAGAAACTTAAAGCAGAAATTGAGTTTGTGTGTTGATAATGAAAATTATTTGAGTTTTCTCTGAATAGATGAAGACTTCTTTTTTAAAGAGATTTTAAAATGCCACCTCCCCAGACTTTATTGGCAAGGAAAGTTTACCTGATTAGGGAGGAAAAAATTCTAGCAGACCTTAATTTAATGTGCTTTTTGCAACAGAAAGTACTAATTTGTAATTTGAAACTTTGTTTACTGCTGGTTTATGGAGATACATTTTTTTAAATTTATGATACAAAGTAATCTCTACCAGGTAGTTGTAAATTACAGGTGCACCCTTGATTTGTGAGGTAGAACCAATTCTGAACAAAATAAAAGTGTCTGGTTTTAGGTTATATACCCACAAAGTTAACTTTGAAAATTGTGGGTAATAAATAGCAGGATTAAGCAAGAAGTTAAGTGTATATTGAATTATAGTAAATAATGGGTTTAGTTTTCTTAAATCTGTTTTGATGTCGTTGGGATTTTGACACAAAAACAGAATATTGCGTATAAGTCTGATTTGGGACTAAATAGTAGCTATAATTCAAACAAATATTTAGCTGCTTTAGTGTAATTGCAAGAACAAATGAATTATATCACCATTTGAAGGCAGCTTAAAGCAGGTTATGTTAAGAGGTGTCATTTTTATTAACAAATAGAGAAAAATGAGACAACTATATTTTCATAAAATTACATTTTATTAGGGATTTTGATGATACCATTTTCTGTCTGGATTGCAAGGGGTTAAGAGTTAAAACAGTGTGCAGCTGTAACACTGGAGCTATTTTATCTCTTAATGCCAGTTAAGGAGAGCCATTAGATAACACCACCATAAGTTAAATAGAGTCTGAGGTTGGTGTAATTTTTTTCCAAATTTCCTATAATGATAATACCTGATCATAAACCTTAAGATCTTTGGAATATGTTTATATGTATGTATGTATATGCGTATGTGTATATATATAGAGAGAGAGAGGTTGCTTTCATGAGAATTAAGTTTGACTTATTTTCCAAAGAGCAATTTGTAGCCTACTGTCCTGATAAAATGGATTCATCATTACACGTTAATATTAGAAAGCAGCTCAATGAGGCCAGCTGGTGGCCTCATTCCTCATAGGTGTGAGGAATGGGTCTGAGTGAAGGCCATTTTAAGTAACAGATGTCTTTTATCTTGTTAGTTCTGCCAATTTTTGTTTAGTAAGCATTCCAGTTTCTGTAATAATTTTAAATGGAGGAAAGTAAGGAAAATGTGTGATAACTGACTTTTGACTCTAATGTTACCATAGGGATAATGAAGTTCATTGCAGATTGTTTTCTAACCTGTGGTGCATGTATCAAAGTAGATTTTTGTTTTAAAAATATGAGATACATTTTTCTGGATCTGATGTTTATTGGGGTAGAGAGGATGACTGTCTTAAAAATAGATCGTGTATCCTGCCTAGAGCAAAGACTCTTAAGTCTTTTGGCTGAAAATGAAATGAGTATGGACAAAAATATTGAAGTATTCTACTTTTACCATATAATCAGTGTCTTGATAACAATTGTAGTTTTTGTTGGTTGGATCTAAGAATGTGTTGGACTTGGGTAAATTTCAGACATGACCAACAACAGAAAACAAAAGCCCAATTCCTTAACCTTTCCTGACTGAAACTTCTCGGGAAGAAACCAGTTCCGAATTGTAAGACATAAATAAGATCGTCTTTTATTGTAAGTTTTTAAGCTATGTAATAGGTTTTTAAACTATATAATAAAACATATGGGGATAACATCAGTTGAATGTGCTACTTTTAAAGCATTAAACCACTAACATAAGCCTTCTGTATTATAGAAACTTCCGAGTTACCAAAATTTAGTCTGGCACAGAGCCCCTGAATATGTTCTGGTTCCCTCACTATAGCCCTTCATTCTCTTCTGTATTAATACTAAAGCATATTGCCTAATAACCACAACCCTGACCAAATTTTGGCCTGGATCTCATGAGTCACGTGGAGTTTTAAATGTGATTTTTAATTTATTTGGGTAATTGACCTGAATCTATAGTTTTCAGATTACTTTTTTAAACAGGTAGGCTCTTAACAACAGATTGTTAAAAACATATTACCCCATTGGAGGGGAATCTGGATTAACTACCCACTGTTCCCCCCCAACTTTTGAAAAATTTTGGCCATAAACCAGCCAAGAGTTATTATTTTATAGAATGACTGAAAAATCAGTATGATCTTTGAGGACTTTATAGTACTGTAAATCTTAGGAGCACGTTAGTTTTTTTTGTTTTTTAAGCGAGTCAAATAGCAGTGGGGGGATTGTATACCAACTTTAGTGACACTGATTTTAGTAAGTTCTGATAACCCACTACCATCGGACCAGCCTGGAGCACATTACTTTGGCCAGTGGAAAGTCTCTTGGAGAGACTTTGAGGTTTGTGATAACAAATCATGCTATCACTAAAGTTAAATACATATATATATATATACTCCTAGAATATAAGCAGAATGGAAAAGTTGGCAAGGATGAATTAGAGCATTGGAGTGAATTTTTTTCATTACAGAATCGTTAGTTCCTTTAGGAACTTAGTCTCGTAGATGTATATATTTAATTAGCATAACTTGGACAGCACAAGATTAATGCTTTAACTTGTTTGCAGGAGTTTAAAAAGCTGGTTTCTGTTGCCAATAGTTGGTTGGAAGGGAAAATGGAGATGCCACAAATAAAATTTTTTGGATGTGCAAAACAGTTTTGATTTTATTTCTTACAAACTATAGGACTCCAAGCCCCCTGATCCTTGATCAGAACTACATTAACACCAAAAATCAAGTTATCAAAGCAGAGAGGAGGGTGCTAAAGGAGTTGGGATTTTGTGTTCATGTCAAGCATCCTCATAAGGTGAGTTGTAGAGTACAGAAATTGGGTTCGTAAGTATTAGGACTTTTCTAAAAATTCTATTTTATATGAATTTATGTTTCTATCTGAGCATTAACCTTGGTTTTAAAAAGCATTCCTTTAAAGGTTCAGGCTTCATCGAAAAACATTCTTTTGGATGTTGAGATTTATCAGTAAAGTGACAGTCAAAAATGTAGGTTCAAATCTTAAATCTTAATTGTGTGCTCATAGAGAAGTTATTGTTGTTTCTGTGGTTAAAGTCCCAGTTTTTCCACCTAGAATACAGAGATGTAAAGTTCCTCATTCCAAGGAATAAATGTGTAGCTACAAAAGTGTCTGGCACACTTACTGTCATAGTAGAATGTTCTAAGTGTGTTGGCTGCTCACTGTTAGCATTATCGGAAATTTGTTTCTCCCAACATTTCTTAGCTTTCTCTTACCGCAATATAAGCGGTAGAGTGAGTTACCCAGGTCAGGACTACCTGGGCTAGAAATGTACCTTGGCAAATTAGGTGAAATAATCTAGCACAGTGCCCATCACATAGTAAAGTGCCAATGAAAAATACTTTTTTAGTTTCCTTTTTTTCCTGTACAATTCTGAAATGTACTTCTAAACAGAATTTATATAAAATCTAGTCATATAACAGTTCACAATAGAGTCTTACATATATTTAAATTGGTCTGTATTATCGATGCAGAATTATAACTTGAATCTAACATTTTCAATTACTTTTTTCATTGAACTCTACTCAGAAAGAACTACCAGTATACTAAATTGAGTTTTTTTCCCTTGTCCTTCAGATCATTGTTATGTATTTACAAGTCTTAGAATGTGAACGTAATCAAACCCTGGTTCAAACTGCCTGGTAAGTCACTTTTTTAGATTTCTTTCCTAGCCAGGAAAACAGAAGCAGAAATAAAGTAAGTTTCATTTTCCCTTTCCAAAATAATGAGATAAGTTTGTTTGGGGCTTTTTGTTGTTTTTTGTTTTTGTTTTTTTTTAACCAAAAGGTAAATAATGCTTATTTCTGCTTCCTGTTTTCTTGGCTTGACTAATTACTTTTAATGGAGAACTCAATTTAACTTTGTTCTTTTTTCTACTCTTTAATTAAAGGGTAGTCCATGATGGTAAGTCATAGAACTCTGCCCTCTGCACTTCAGCCCATGACCTCAGGATGGCCTGATTGGCTACCCTGCTCTCCAGCCAATCCAGTGCAAGCTCTCATCCGAGATTCACTGAAGTGGTCCATATCCATCTGGCAGCATCTTCTAGTTCTGTCGGGGTGTCAAAAGGATTTGTATATTTGCTTCTAGAAGTAACTATTTGACATGCCTATGTATTTAATGTATACTTGTAACTATCAAAATGAATAGTTCATTTTTGATAGATTTGTTGTCCAGCCATTATGAATTAAATGGTTTCTTATTAGGAGTTTGACTAAATTTTTATTTTTAGTATGTATAGCGTGAATTCTACCAAAGGAGACTACAAACTTGCAGCTTAAAATGGGAACCAGTTCCCACACTGGCTTAATTTATATAACTGCTTGGCTGTATTGCGGGTAATATTAGAAGCAAGAAGCACTTCATTTTTAAAAGAGATGTTACTATTATATTGCTTAAATGCTTTAGCACTTGGACGTTTTGAGATGCAGATGTGTGATTTAGAGTGCTGGCTTATTTAAAGGTCAAGCCAAGGAGTTTGTGGATCAGCCACAACTACTGTTTCCTAAGACTATTGATGTGAAGGACTTAGTGAAGTAATTTTTATATTTTGGACTTCCCAGCAAGATGTCCTTTTAATGACTGCCATGCTTCTTTTGGACTCAGTAAATATTTGTAATGTTAGAAAAGTCTCATTACTTTTATAAAATGCATGACATTTTAAGTATGTGTTGCATAAAATGGATTATAGCAGTTCTCATGGTTTAGGATTTTTAAGAAATAGTCCATTTAATTTCAGCTTAACCTTTTAAATGACCTGTAAAATTTCTTTAATAGTTTAGGAATGTTGTGGGGAGAGTTCATTAATAAAAGTTCAGCAATTTTTTAACTGAAGTAGTTTATCTCTTTTACCTAGTCACAAAAAAGGTATGTAAACAAGGCCATTATATGTGTTTATTGCTCTTTACTTCCCTATCTAGATTTTCTAAATATCTTAATTTTCTTAATATAAGTTTAACTTGTTACCTACTGAAAATGCCTTTTTACCCCTGTTAACGATATGTTGAGCTTTTGAAAAGAACTTGGTTGACACTGCTTTTATTGCGGATAAAGGAGAGATGGTCAGTAATTAATGGCTTGAAGTATTATTGGAGTGGTTTATCATTTCTGAAACTAATCATGTGAGAATTGACTTTGAAAGCATTGCTTTTTACAGAAATATATTAACTTTAGGAGTAATTTCTAGTTGGATTGTAATACGAAATAATTTAAAAGAGCTTTGCTCATATATAGGAAAATTGCAAATGGTCCTACTATTAAATTCTTACTGCTTACTGATTTTTTTGAATTAAGAGTTGTTATATGCTAGAATATGAGGATGTGAATATAAATAAGAGAAGAAAAAAGAATAAAGTAGATTGAGTCTCCAATTTTATGTAAGCTTCAGAAGAACTGGTTTGTTTACATACAAGCTTATAGTTGAAATATTTTTCAGGAATTACATGAATGACAGTCTTCGAACCAATGTTTTTGTTCGATTTCAACCAGAGACTATAGCATGTGCTTGCATCTACCTTGCAGCTAGAGCACTTCAGGTAGGTGTATATTTCCCATTTTGTTCTGTAGGATAAATCACACAAATTTTCGGTGGTTCCAGTACAGATTTAGCAAAAATTTAATCTAAACCATTCTGTTCTTATGGTTTAGATTCCATTGCCAACTCGTCCCCATTGGTTTCTTCTTTTTGGTACTACGGAAGAGGAAATCCAGGAAATCTGCATAGAAACGCTTAGGCTTTATACCAGAAAAAAGGTATTCTCTATTTACTCGTTTGTGCCAAGATGCTAAGAGTCTAAGCTACTGTAAGGGAGAAATACTAACTTTCTTTTTTCCCCAACAGCCAAACTATGAATTACTGGAAAAAGAAGTAGAAAAAAGAAAAGTAGCCTTACAAGAAGCCAAATTAAAAGCAAAGGGATTGAATCCTGATGGAACTCCAGCCCTTTCAACCCTCGGTGGATTTTCTCCAGCCTCCAAGCCATGTAAGATGTATTTAGAATTAAAACGACTTGGGGGCACTGAAAGTGTATTTCTATTAGAGAGCTTTTACATTTGAAAGTTGCATAGAGAAAAATGATGTTAAGAAACTGCTACTATGTTCTCTTATGGCAGTCAGCTAAAGACTGATACTTGGAAGCGGAAGCATGGTACTTTGAGTTACATTTAGAAACAACTTTTTGGCCCTCTGTTAAATCCAGTAGTTAACATGCTGTTATGTCTTTTAAAAGCATCGCCAAGAGAAGTAAAAGCTGAAGAGAAATCACCAATCTCCATTAATGTGAAGACAGTAAAAAAAGAACCTGAGGATAGACAACAGGCTTCCAAAAGCCCTTACAATGGGTGAGTATACTTGGGCTGGAAAACTGGCTTGAGGAATCTTTTATGTGTTTACTTTTTAACACACTAAGTTTGTAACTAATGTGTCATGATTTTTTGAAGTGTAAGAAAAGACAGCAAGAGAAGTAGAAATAGCAGAAGTGCAAGTCGATCAAGGTCAAGAACACGATCACGTTCTAGATCACATACTCCAAGAAGACAGTAAGTAAATGTTTTCTTAGAGAAGCAGTCTTATTTGGAGTTTTTAAAGGTTAATGTTTTTTCTTTAAAAATTGAACATAGATTATTTTCAAAGTTAGGTTAGAATTAGGCTTTTAATATGAGATAAATTATGAGAAATGAGTTTGGAGATGTTCTAGACATACAGTATCTTAATGGCATTCTGTTATATTTTCTCCCATGTTTTTTGGAGAAGTGTAGGAGCTACCCACAAAGTGCTTGAGGGCCATAGTATTGTTTTTAATGTGAAAACTCCTTTTTTAAAAAATTTCAGTTAGAAAATGTATTTCATTAACCCCTTATTAATAACTAATAAATTAACCAATGAATCCTTCCTAGTTAGGCTTGTAATTAGATTGTTAGCTCCTCGTGGCTCTTCAATGTCTTTTGAACATGTGGGAGATATTTAATAAAAAGCATAGCTCTAGGACACTAAAAATTGCTAATTACTCCCCTTGGAATATAGACATAAGAACATTTGCTTAAGATTTAATATGTTATATATAGGCTTGGGCATACAGCAGTGATGGGTGGGGAGATTTTGAAAAGTTCTGGTTTGTCATTTATGTAGCTGGTAGTTTTGCTTTGAACCTGTTATGAGCAACCACCAGAGTAATCTGTTCCCCATAGAAACTGAACCTAAACTTCAAATTTTTATTATCTAAGCTATAATAATAGGCGGAGTCGATCTGGAACATACAGCTCGAGATCAAGAAGCAGGTCCCGCAGTCACAGTGAAAGCCCTCGAAGACATCATAATCATGGTTCTCCTCACCTTAAGGCCAAGCATACCAGAGATGATTTAAAAAGTTCAAACAGACATGGTCATAAAAGGAAAAAATCTCGTTCTCGATCTCAGAGCAAGTCTCGGGATCACTCAGATGCAGCCAAGAAGCACAGGCATGAAAGGGGACATCATAGAGACAGGCGTGAACGATCTCGCTCCTTTGAGAGGTCCCATAAAAGCAAGCACCATGGTGGCAGTCGCTCAGGACATGGCAGGCACAGGCGCTGATTTTCTCTTCCTTTGAGCCTGCATCAGTTCTTGGTTTTGCCTGTCTACAGTGTGATGTATGGACTCAATCAAAACATTAAACGCAAACTGATTAGGATTTGATTTCTTGAAACCCTCTAGGTCTCTAGAACACTGAGGACATTTTCTTTTGAAAAGAACTATGTTAATTTTTTTGCACATTAAAATGCCCTAGCAGTATCTAATTAAAAACCATGGTCAGGTTCAATTGTACTTTATTATAGTTGTGTATTGTTTATTGCTATAAGAACTGGAGCGTGAATTCTGTAAAAATGTATCTTATTTTTATACAGATAAAATTGCAGACACTGTTCTATTTAAGTGGTTATTTGTTTAAATGATGGTGAATACTTTCTTAACACTGGTTTGTCTGCATGTGTAAAGATTTTTACAAGGAAATAAAATACAAATCTTGTTTTTTCTAAACTGCTTCAAATATCTTATTTAAATAAATTATTAAAAAGCAAAATTTTAATAGCAAAATGGCTGTACTGGTTTTCTGATGAACTTATTCTTTCCTCCATTAGATGGTAGTATGAGATTAGTAAAATGCAATTCTTAACTGCATCGTGAGCTATTGTAAGTCTTCACTGTATATATGGAAAAAGGGAATGGGAGTCACCCAACAATGTAACATTAAATATTGTAGCACTAAACCAAAAAACCTGATTTGCATAAGGTAATTTTGAGTCAGATTTAAGTACTATTTCTGAAATGAGGTGCTGTATTGAATGAACCAAAACTTAGTAACTATTGAGCTTTAACAGTTCTGTATAATTTAGGCATTTAATGTTATGACTTTTATGTAGGCTAGGAGAAGAGGCGAGGCCCCTGAACTTGAGTCGTTGATAGAATACAAGCTGATCACAAAGAAGTGAAGTTTTGATGAAAAAGCCGGAATTTCTATCCAAATGAATGTTTTCAAGTTACTCACATTTGGTATTTTTTTCAAGATTTTGGAAATCAGTTTACAGATCTTAAAAGTCAAAAATGTTGCATTACTTTATAATTACACTAAGGTCTCCATTACATTTATTTTACCTACTTTAATTGTCCACTAGACTTGGCTCCAAGTGATTTGTTGCTGTTTCAAGAAATAAAATACACCCACAAAGAGGAAGATGTATTACTGCTAAGGATATTTTTAAAAATAAAGTTACAGCTTCTGAAGAGCACACCAAAGTCTTACAATGTGTTCACCAATGGCAAGTGGTGGAGGCTGGAAAAAATAGCTTCTCAAGGCAACTCCTTTGAAGGAGATGAGATTCATTAGGATATAAAAGTGTTGGGAGTCCTACTTAAATCAGTTATAGTTGTAACTATAAAGACTAACCAGAAACTAACAAGACCCAGTGTAAATTAGCCACTTCATGCTTGAAAGAGGGTAGATAGTTCATTAAGACTTTTCTGCATGATTTGTAATACACATTGCTGAATTATAAATTGATATTCTGAAAAGCTAACTGCTTCTAAATGCTAAACAGTTTGTTTCCTTTACATGACATTGAAAAAAGGCAGAGGCAAATGTTAGCAAAGGCCCTGTTAGCAAATTAATCTTGAATTTTTTTTTAACTTTTTTTTTTTAGAGACGAGGTCTTGCTACGTTGCCCAGGTCGGTCACGAACTCCTGGCCTCAAGTGATCCTCCCACCTCAGCCTCCCAAGTATTAAATTCTTATTGAAATTACTTATGTGCTTTATCTTTGCTGGGAAGTAGGAGTGCTGTGGGTGAGGGTTGTTTGTGAAGATGGGGAATTGTGGAGGATACACCTGCATGTGGAATGAGGTTTGTATGTTAACGGTGTTTTTAGAGGTGGCTTTGTGGGCTAGACCAAGATTTTTTTCAGGGTCTTGATTTTTGTCTTATTGTCTGTTACTGAATCTGTTTTCTAAGTTGTCAAAGGATGTTAACCTCATGCTGCTCTATGGCTATTTTAAAGCTTTCTCTAAAAGTAATACTCATTTTCAAACTTATTTTGAGAAACAAAATTGTGGAATACCCATAATACCTGTTTATCAGCTCCAAAAATAATGATTAGCAAAACTTACTTAATCTGTATCCCACCAATTCACCACTCCACCCTTGCTATTGGGAAGAAAATCCCATACGAGGAAAGTTTGTTCCCAAGTGTTTCAATCCACAAGACTGAGGATTTTTAAAACATCACCATATAGCTTTATTGTAAGAATTAAAAGGAATGCCATACTACCCCTGTCAGTATCCAGAAAGCCCTCATCTCTGATTTGTTTTAACTGGTTTGTTGAAAGTCCAAATATGTTGCATTGGCTTTAACCACAGGCTTCTCCGTATTTCTTTCTTGAAATTGGGTCATGTCCAGAAGAATTTTTCACCTTCTGGGTTTGTTCATTGTAACTCTGTGCTGTCACTGAACACATTTTTCTGTCCACTGTGTGGTAAACTGGTAGATCTTGAGGCTTGAACAGATTCAGGTTTAATTTTTTTATTTGTCTGGAATTCAGAAGCCTGGACACCCAGATTGTTATTTTAGAACTGAAAACTAGGTTGCTGGCTCATCCACCAGGTATTTTACTGGGTTCTCAGTTGTTATCCATTGGTGCTTGTACTTCACTGGCTTTTGTATCTGTTTTCCCTCTGTCCTCTGTCGCATGTTTTGGTTGGCCCATTACAGCAATGAAAATGTTATTTGTCCAAATGATCCTGATACTTTTTTTCCTTAAATGACCCACGAATTAAATCCTTTTTTTTTTTTTTTCTTTTTTTCTTTTTGAGATGGAGTCTTACTCTGTCGCTCAGGCTGGAGTGCAGTGGCGTGATCTCGGCTCACTGCAAGCTCCACCTCCTGGG